ATCCTCCCACAACTCATCAGGTCTTCGCTCATTAGTGTTCCACAACTGTATATATATATGAATTATATCTATATAGATCTATGTATAAACTGTATATGTGAACTATATATGTGAACTCTCTCTCTCTCTCTCTCTCTATATATATATATATATGAAATTTCCAGACTGTTTTCCAAAGCAGCTGCACCATTTTACCACCACCAGCAATGTATGTGTAGAGTCCCTATTTTTCTACATTTCTAGCCTGTTGATTTGGCTCCTAACCAAAAGTCAGATGGTTAAAATTTATTTTTCTTTATAAGAGAGAAATGACGCCATCTACTCCTATTAAGATTTAAGCTGCGAAAACCTGATGGAGGATTGCCATGGACTGCAATCACATCCCCATGTAGTGGTTTTAAATAGAGGATATTTAATAGTAGATGAGTAGCATTTTTTTTTAGTGAAATAAAATTTTTATTTTATACTGGTTTACTTACAAAGTTCATATACATTGTCTTTTACACCGGATCTTTCCCATTTCCTTTACCCACTCCTCCCCCTACCTGTCATATTGTGCGATCCTATGATTACCCCCCACCCCCCAGCCCATCCTCACCCTTCTGCTCCTACCCTTCCCCCTTGGATCCTCATACACATTTTACTAGTTATATTTCTGTTTCTACAATAATGGCCTTGTACAGTATTTGTCATTATGAGACTGAGTTAGTTCATTTAGAGTAACAGGCAAAGAAGAGGAACACCAGGAATGGATAATAATCCAATGAGTAAATGGAGAAATAGAAAGTGAATCCCTCCAAAGATGGCTTCACGCCAGATCATGGTAGGTCCTGTGCATCATGATGGTAAAGGCCTTGGCTTTGTTCTGTGGACATTTTGACCTGGCGAGCAGCTTGATCAGAACTGTATAGCAGGGCAATGCTCTGGTGTTTTAAGAAGATAGAATAATGGAACAAGACTTGGGAGGCACAGGGAACCTTCTTAGGAACCTACTTCAGTCCTAGGGGAGAGGCAGGTAGTAGCAGCAGTTGAAGGGGAAGGCGAGGACAGAGTTGCATCAGCAGTACTGGCAGTTGGTTGGGGAGAGAAATCTGACCACTAGTTTCTGACATAGATCTCATGGGCAACCAGAAATGACAGGGAAGGGAGTGGGGTGGGGGTGGGGGCCAGGGAGGGTAAGTAATGAATTTGGTGTTGGATTTGTGTGCTCAGAAATATTTAACAGAGATGTCCAGAATATTTGCGCTTTTTTTCTTATACTTCCCTAAAGAATTTTCAAAAACCTATGCCTCACAAAAGGTGTTCGTTTTAACTAGGTAAAAAACAGGGAGCTCTGGTGGCTTGTTCAGTGCTATCGAGTTGAATACAACTCATAGCAACCCTGTGATCAACAGATCTGAACCTTATCCTATCCTGTGCCATCCTTCTTATTCCCCACGGTGGTCAGGAATTGGACTGCAAACTCAAATCCACCAGCTGCTCCCTGGGAGAGGGATGGCCAGTCTCCTCCCATGGGGGTAAATGTCTCTGTAAACCTACTGGAAAGTCAGCTATGAGTCAATTCTGACTCCAAGGCACACCAGAATTAAAGAGAATATAGTCTTTTGTAAACATCAGAGTTTTTAAACAAAATTGTTGCTTCGCTCTTCTGGCAAATAATAAGTACAATATCAATTCTAATTATGAAAATGTATCATCTGCTTTATAAATAAATAAAAATGTTTCCCTCTTATAATTTTTTATCTCTGCCCTTACAATCACCATGTATTTTATAAGTAATCAAATAGATTTTGGTTAAAAAAACCCCAACAACTGACAGATAAAAATGTTTAACTTTTAACAGACATTTTGCTTTTTTTTTTCTTTTAACTCATATTTTTTTTGTTTTTAAATTTTGTTATTTTTGTGTGTGTGTACCATCAAATCAGATCTGACAGTACAAGGGGAGATTGCCCCTCCTTCTCCAGCAGAGCATCTGGTATAACTCATATATTTTTAAACATGGAAGTCTAAATATGATAATTCTATCATATTTACCTGCAACAAAAATATACATGTAAATGAGAAACTATTTTATATACTAACATTCTCTTCTGTATGGAATTAGCATTATAATCTGTAGTTCATAATTAGCTAGAATAGTTTAAATATATTTTTTTAAATGATTAATCATAAACTTTGAGATTGTATCTCTTAAAGAGATAAGATATTTTTTCCCCCGCAGTTGATTCACATGTCTGAGGGTGAACTAAGTCAGTTCCTACTTTTTAATAGATGTGGGCAGAGAAACATTGCTCATATAAACATGTAGATGGGAATGGAAGACATTTTATTACAGCAGTAACACTCAATTATTTCAATTCCTTCTGACGTATATGCCAAAAATTACATAATGACTTGTCATCAGAATTATTTTCATGATCTGTCAGCTGACAACTCATAAAGGTCCTCCAAATTTTGTGCCTCTTAATTGGCAAAATAACTTTTTGCCAAATCATTAAAGAAACTCACTTTTCTTTTTGGGGGGGAAATGCACCCCAAACAGTTTTAGCAAAACTTATTTAATGACTAGGAAATATTCTTCATTGCTTTTTAACTGAAAGCAGCCCTATATCCTAATCTATTCAAAAGAATTGGGAAAAGCAAACTCTTTGTTTCAGTGACAGTTTCTAATTAAATATTTTCAACCAGAACTTTTATTGTAAAAACCAAAGCCAAAACCACTGTCACTGAGTGTAATTCCCAGTCATAGAAACTCCTGTGGACAGTAGGCACGCCCCTCAGGGTTCCCAAACCTGTAAATCTTTATGGATGTGGATTGTGACATCCTTCTCCCCTAGAGCCACTGGGGGGTTCAAACCACTGACCTTATTTAACAACCAAGCTATTTAACCACTGCACACCAAGGTGTAGACTTTAAATATAGTGGTAAAACTTTGAGGCTGTAGATTTAGCTCATTCACGTAGTCGGAAATGCATTCCATGTAAGCAGATTGGCAAAACCAGTCTACATTGCAAAGCAGTTCACTAAATGAGACATATTTTTATACCAAACAAACAACTTCATTTTTTAATTCAAATAAACTTTTAATGTACATCCCCATGACAACTATCTCAGTTCTGAAAAGAGCAAGCACTGGTGTGCGCTTATTTCATTTCCTCATGAATCATTTTAAAGCAACGTGAGTTTGGCTCTCTGGGCCTAATCATATTTACCATTTCAATGGAAACATCTAGTGTTCTCTTTGGTTATTATGTAACTATTTTTTTAACATCTACGCCCTTTTTATTTTTCTTTTTAATTTCTTAAATCTTTATTGAGAGATAATTCTGAGTCAGTTCTGACTTGAAGGCACCTAACACAACCCAAAGTTCAGCAGCTTTTCACACACTCAGGGTTGTGCAGTTGCCCCCGTAATCTGTTGTTATTGTGGTTGTGGTGGTGATGGTGTCCTGAAGAGTCAGAACAGACCCATCGCTGACCCTTCAGTGGGTTTTCAAAGGCAGTCAATCACATGGGAGCTGATTGTCCATTTTTTCCCTGCAGAACTACTGGTGGATTCGAACCATGTACCTTTGCATTGGCAGAGCGATTTATTACCACTATGCCACTAGAACTCCTCTTAATGTTTAGCACATATCTATCATCCCCAAAAGAATCTCTCCCTTGACTCCTGTCTCCTGTGCCTTTCATTTTTCACTTAGTCCGTTTTCAAGGATCATCCGTGTTATAGGTTTCACGACTTCTTCCCTCTTTATGATTGACCACTTAATATTCCATTATCATGAGTATTTCACATTTTACCTATCTTCATCATTTGATAAATAGTATTTTATGAGCATTTGGTTAGACAGTTTTTGTGTAGGCATGTTTTTGGTAAAGGCCTTTAAGTGGACTTTGTGGCCCATGTGGTAGCTGTGTTTAACTTTTTGAGAAACTACCAGAACGTTTTCACAGTAGCTTCACCATCGTACATCGTCATCAGCAGTTTTTGGGGGTTCTCCTTTCTTTACATGCGTGCCAACACCTATTGTCTCTTTTTAACCCAAATTGGCTTGGATGGGTGTTTTTTGTTGTTGTGTTTGTTGGTTTTGTTTTGTTTTCATTAATAAAACATTTTCTAAAAGCAAAGTAGAGTCTAAAGTGTGATACTAGGCAGTTAGGCCGCTCTGCAGTCCTAAAGTTCCTACTGGTACCAGAGGCTCATTATCTGCCATCCCAGCTTCAACCCAGCTCAGCTCAAATAAGTTTGGAGACCACCTTTTTCCTTTGTATTCCTAGGCAATTCTTACCGTAATGAATAATGTTATCAACAGTGCTGTTTCCTTTGCTGTCATAATGAATGCAAATAATTAGCACAGAATGGTCAAAATAATCAATAGGTGCATTAGTCTTGTATATACTGCCTTCCCCCCCCCTTTTGCTACAGTGTGCTAAGCCATCTTCTGCCTAAAAGAACTAAAGAAAACCCTAAAAGAACTCTGAGTATTCTGTATATAAATGACATTGCATGAGTGATAACATCATAGTATTGTTCGCCAGCAGCTTCACAAGACTCTGAGTCAGGAGTGATGCATTCTGTGTCGGTAGGGACAACAGAAGCACACATGTCAAGTTAATATCCTTGTCATTCCCACCCCCTGACTCTTGTTATGTACCAACGAGTTGGAACCAGTAGGTTTTTAGAAGCAGTAGATCACACCGGAGATTGCCCATCTTTCTCCCATGGAGCAAGTGGTAGTTTTGAACTATGTGCCTTTGTGTTGGCAGCAGAAAAAAATCAGAGCATCTCCAGGAAGGCCAGAATAAAGGATCTGCTGACCAAAAAAGAGGCCAGAATACCTCACTCTGGGTCTTGTGCTTCACCTTTGACTGAAATATGTAAAGCGTGTAAAGACATGAAGCCCCACCAGAAGGTTCCATGCTTTGGTTAAAAAAAGCTTCACCTCCATCCATCCCATTGCCATTGAGTTCATTCATATTCACGGAGACCCTGTAGAATGCTGCAGGGTGAGGATGTGGCAGCCTGTTCTGTAAAGAGTTCAGCCATGAAATTAAAATCAGGAGTCTTCTCCATGCTCTCTGGGGATTTAGCTCCTTGTCTTACCCTACAATAATTTTTTCCCTTTTAAGCACAGTTAAAATTTTGAAACCTTGCTGGCCTAACTATGTATGTGTTTAATCTTTTAAATAATGTTTTTGCTAGCTTTTTTAATCAGCCTCTTCTTTAGAGACTAGGACTCTGATATGTCTTCTCTACATATTTTCTTCTGCAGTCTTAATTTTTTTGTCATCCAGCCCTATATGAATGATGACCCATTCCCTCTCTGTCACCATTCTTTCACTTTAACCCTTAACTCAACTTCCATTTTAGTCTCGTATTATATAAGCTGCTAGTGACAGTTTTCAGCTTAACACAGCTTGGTCTGTATATTTGTGTGGGGGCGGGGGCAGGAATCAGTGTTTAATTTTTAAAGATGGCAAAAACTTTCTTCCTTGTAATACTAAATTTCATATTTGGAACTCTTTCTTTTTTTTTTTTAGATTTAGCATGAGTTTCAACAGACATAATCTCAAATACTATGTATTACAAAAAAAACCAAAAAAGGTGGCATTTGACTGCTTAGAATGGATCAGAAAGCATCACCCGTGTAAGTACACCACATGAATTATATCCAAGTGATAAATGTCTTTTTAGTACCACACTAGAATATGTAAAATTGCGTATTAAACATTTCGTTTCTCAGTTTGATAGTGCTAACTTGCTATTTATAGAGCAGAATATTAACAGCTCTTTCCGTTCTAGAAATTATAAAATCTCACTTGGTTTGATGACAATAAACTCTAACAAAAAATATATTTAAAAATGCCCTCCTCCGCACCTATCTTATGATTCTCGGTTTTGCTCTCTCCTCTGGCTGTTATCAGCATATGAATTATACAGTTCTTTGTTTTAGTGCTTTTTCCCAACCGTATCTCCTTCTGACTCGTATTAACTAAAATGAGATTCTGAAATGGATAGCTGTTTTCCCTGCAATCCCTTATCCACCTTTCCACAGAGAATATTTTTTGTTAAACATTTCTATTTTGCTTTTCAAAAATTGGAAGACATGCTTACTTGAATAAATCAAGCCATAAAGAGATAATGAAGGAAAAAGTCAGTAATTTCCCCTCGTTAGCCCACTTCTTTGGGGCTTCTAGTATGAATAGCTGAGTGTATTTTATTGAGTACTACTTTAAAACCAGAAAATAAAGGATATAGTCGATTCTGTGGTAGAACCAAGGATAGAGAATTGACTTTTATGTCTTTTTTCTTATTACTATTTTAAAAATAACATACATTAAAAAGATGATATCACTTGTACTGGTTGTAGAAAATGTAGAAAGCAAGGTGAAAAGCAGGAGATAGAGCTCCCTGGGGCAGCATAGGTGCCGTCAAGTCAGCTGCGGTTCCTGGAGAGACGGAGACACTGCCCAGTGCTGCCACATCCTCGCGGCCATTGCTGACCCTCAGCCTCTTATTGGAGTCAGCCATTGTTAGGATTTTGGCTTATTTCTTTACAATATGTGAATACATTTTTTTCCCATTAGCATACTACATACACATATTGTCTTTATATCCTTTATATTTTGAACATTTTCCCGTTGCTTTTTTTAAAAGCTTAGGAAATACCTTTTAATAGTTAAAGTATATTTGATTTCACAGCTTCTTTTCTGAGTTAGTCCCTAGTGTTGGCCATCTAGGTGTTTCTTAATTTTAGTTTTCTCTAAATATAAGAAAACTTTGTATAGGTATGTGTAGCGCTGCAAATCATTGTTGAGGTTAGTTTCCTCGAAGGGAAGTAGGTCAAAGGATAGAGAGATTTCCAGGAATGTTAATGCATAGTATGGCCATATGCTTTCAATGAGGTCTACGTGGAGGCACATTCCTGCCACGTAGCCAGTGTGAAACAGAGCCGGGGACTTGTCACGGCTCCATTTCCGACACATGTGAATTCCTTGCTTGGTTTTTCTGCCCATGTGAAACCTATGGAGAGCTGTTTATGGGTCTTGTGTCTGTGAGAACATAATGTAAATTGTATTGTTATTTAGATTCCAAGTCTTCATAATACTATTTGGGTTCTTGGCAGATGACTCGGGGATAATTTACTGCCTCTCCAGGAGAGAATGTGACACAATGGCTGACACGTTGAAGAAAGATGGTCTCGCGGCTCTTGCTTATCACGCCGGCCTCAGTGATGGTGCTAGGGACGAGGTGCAGCACAAGTGGATTAATCAGGACGGCTGCCAGGTAACGGACTTAACAATAAACAAATTGTGGGAACAATCTTTTTTTTTTACTATGCATAAGAAACATTTTCCTCCTTGTTTCTTTCTATATTGTGGTAAAAATATGCACAATACAATGGACACCATCTCCACAATTTTTTCATGTTCCATTCAGTGACATTGCTCACGTTCTCCATGTTTCCCAGCCCATTGTGCGATTGTTCTAAGTCATCCCCCTCAGCGTTTACATAAACTCAGTGACTCCTAGGCAGAAAGCCACTTTGGTCCCTAGAGCTTCGCCTTTTCGTTTGTTTTGTTTTTTAAAACATTTTCTAGTTTAAGCTTTGCCTTTTCTTAACTTTCTATGTAATTGAGGTCAAATAATAGTTGTCCTTTTATGATGACTTATTTCCACTCAGCAAAATGTGTCCAAACTCCATCCTATTGTAGACTTTATAAAGACTTCCTTTATTCTACGGATCCCCCCATTATATCTGTATACCACAGTTTGTCTATCCATTCATCTGTTGAAGGACATTTCCATTTCCATATTTGGGCTGTTGGGCATAGTAAGGCAGTTGACACGTTCAGCATTGGTGTTCAAGTCCCTGAGTGTCTACTGTCAAGTCTTTGAATATATACTTTGGAATGAAATTGCAAGGTAATACAATATTTGTTTTTTGAGGAACTTGTGTTTTTTGAGGACCTGCCTCTATATTTTCCACAACTGTTGTGCCATTTTACATTCCCAATGACTAAAAGAAAGGAAACCTTTTATAAAATATAAGCAAACTTGCATATGTGCAGTGTAATTTTTTTTTTACCTTAAAGATAGTATCAGACTAAAATAAAAAAACAGGTATGGGTGTGTCTGTCTTCCACAGTTACTTCTTTTCCCCCCAATAACATAAAATAATTATTTTTTTATTAATATGTAAGTGAGCATAAAATTTGCTCTTTTATTCAGTTCAGTGGGTTTTGGAGTTTTTATTGGTTTGTTGGAGGTTTTTTTGGGTTTGTTTTGATATGGTCGCAAAATGGTACCACTATCACAACTATTTAATTCTAGAACATTTTACCACCTCCAAAAAGTGAATGGATAAACTCCTTACTCATTAGCTCCCCCATAGTCCCCTCTAATCTGCTAACCACTGCTAATCTATTAGTCTGAATGGCACCAAAGATACCATTGCTGATGTCAGATGAATCTTGGCTCAAAACAGAGCATACCAGAAGAATGTCTATTTCTGTTTTATTGACTAAGCAAAAGCATTTGACTGTATGAATCATAACAAACTATGGTTAACATTGAGAAGAACATGTCTCCCAGAACATTTAATTATGTTTATATGAAACCTATACCTAGACCAAAAAACTATTGTCAATACAGGAACACTGCATGGTTTAAAACAGTAGAAAGGTGTGTGTTAGGGCTGTCTCCTTTCTCTATACCTATTTAATCTGTATACTGAACAAATATTCCAAGAAGCTGGACTCTGAAGAAGATTGAAGTATCAGGATCAGAGGAAGATTCATTAACAACCTGAATTATACAGACAGCATATCCTTGTTTGCTGAAAGTGAGAAGACTTGAAATGCTTGCTGCCAAAGATCAAAGACTGTAGCCTTCAATATGGATTACTTCTCAACATCTAGAAGACAAAAATCTTTACTAGACCAATAGGCAACATCATGATACTAGGGGGAAAGGATTACAAAGACTTCATTTTACTTTGATCCACAGTCAACTCCCTTGGCACCAGCAGTCAGGAAATCAAAAGATGACCCCAAATAAGCAAAGCACTACTGAAAAAGAGAAATAAGGTAGGAGGCATCACATTCCCTGATCTTAAATCCTACTGCACAGTTGTGATGATCTAGACAGCATGGTACCATGCTGGTACAGTGGCAGACACATCGATCAGTGGAATAGAATTGAGAACCCAGAAATCAGCTCATCTACCTAAGGTCAACCAATTTTTGGCAAAAAGACAAAATTCATTAAGTAGGGAAACGAAAGCCTCTTTAACAAGTGGTTTTGGCAAAATTTGAAAACCATCTGCAGAAAACTTAAGCAAGACCTGTAGCTCATATAATACACAAAATCCAGCTCAAATTGGAATAGGGACCTAAGAGTAAAACCAAAGACTATAAAATTCATCAGAGAAAAGCTAAGAACAACTCTAAAAGCCCTAACCCACAGCATGATTAGACTTCCAAAATAAAAATCTACAACCAGGAGAGAATAAAATAGATGAATGGGACCTTCTAAGAATCAAATTGCTATGCACATCAAAAACGTCTTCAAGAGGGTAAAAGAAAGCCCACAGGCTGGGAAGAAATATTTGGTAATGACATATATGATAAGGGACTTTATAGAATACTCTAGCACCTCAACAAGAAAAAGGCAAACAACTCAATCATAAAATGAGCAGAGGATATAAATAGACTACCAAAGAAGACATTCAGATGGCACACAAACACATGAAGAAATGTTCAAAATCCCTAGCTTTAAGAAAGATGCAAATCATAATAATCATATATCACTTCTAATCTGAGTACAGGAATCCAGAATTAAGGTTGCATAGAGAAGTGTACTCGGGGTGGGGGGTGGGGGGAAGGGACGTGGGAATTGTATACTAATGAAGGAATTTTTTTTTCTCTCTTCGGAGGGGAACACGAGCTGGTGGGGAGGGGTGGGCAGGGAGAAAATTGCAGCAATGAGTGAATGGAAATGCAAAACTTCTGTAAAAAAAATTTTTTTTTAAAAAAAGAGAGAGATGCAAATCAAAGCAACGATGAAATATCTCACCCCAGTAAAAAACAGCAAAGTTCATTAGAGCAGCAAAAACAACTCTTGGTAAAGTTGTGGGGAAATTGGAAATCTTAATCACTTTTGGTGGGAATGTAAAATGGTACAGCCACTGTGGATGGTGGTGTGGCGCTTTCTCAAAATGTTGGAAATGGAAATACAATTTGACCCAGCAATTCCACTAGTAGGAATATACCCTAAAGAAACCGGAGCTGAGACTCAAACAAATGTGTACATGCCCATGTTTATTGCTGCATTATTCATATTAGCAGAAAGATGGAAGCAACCCAAGTGCCCATCAACAAATAAATAGAAAAACTATAGTATATTCATACAGTGGGATATTATGCATCATTGAAAACAATGAGCTCATGAAATATTATACAACATGTGGGAGACTGGAGGACATTATGCTGAGTGAAATATCTCTGTCTCAAAAGGATAAATACTGTATAACACCGCTGTTATAAAATAGGACAGATGGGAGATGAGTTGAGGAGAATAGGAAAAGAGTAGATAGATGAATGAACACTGCATTGGAACAGATGAGGGAAAGAGCTGTCTGAAGGGAAATATATTATTAGGCATTATATATACAGCAACAGTCTGGAACAAGAGTTGCATTACAAAGTGGACTGGGGAAGGGAGGAAAATGTGCAACAATGAATAATTGAAAACCCAACTTTCTAGAAACTTTTGTTAAAATCACAATTTTAACACTAATTAAAAATATCGAAAGATGTATTGCATTGGGATTGTCTGCCCTCAGGGATCTTTCCAATACTGAGGAGCAGTGATGTCATTTTTGAAGGGGAAGGTACGCCTGATTCAGGCCATGGTCTTTTCAGTCACTTGCTATACACACATCTGAGAACTGGCCAATAACTAAGGATAACAGAAGCAAAACCAATGCCTTTGAGTTGTGGTGCTGGAGAAAAGTATTGAACATAAACAATGGACTGCAAGGAGGACAAACAAATCTGTCCTGGAGAGGGTGCTCCTTGGAGGCAAGGACTTTCAAACTCCACCTCATATATTTTGGGCATATTGCCAAGAGGGACTAGTCCTTAGAGAAGGACATCATCCTTGGAAGAGTAGAGGGTCAGCACAGGAGAGGAAGACCCTCAATGAAATGGGCATGTTGCTACAAGAGACTCTTCCTTAGAGTGGGACATGATGCTTGGAAAGGTGGAGAGACAACAAAAGAAGAAGATCCTCAACCAGGTAGATTGAAACAGTTAACACAGCAGTGGGCTCAAGTGTGTTGGAGGTTGTGAGGCCAGATGGCACAGGACAGGTCAAGGTTCAGACCTGTTGTTCATAGGGTCACTAAGAGTAGTTCTTGGTTTGATGGCACTTAACAACAACATATTCACATGAGAAGAATGGGCAATCTCCTCCCATGCGATTTTCTGCCTCTGAAAACCCACAGGAGAGTCACTGTGATTTGGTTCTAGCTTGGTAGCAAACAAAAACAACATGCCTTTATTTGGTGTGTTTATAATTTGCAAATATTTTTTTCTCATACTGTGGGTTGTCCTTTCTTTTTCTGTATCATTTTCTTTGACATTTTTATGAAGATCAAGACACTTTTTCTGGGTTTTCCCTTTTGATATCTTGTGCTTATGCACCATAGCTCTAAGAAAGCATTGACTAGTCAAGATCACAAAGATTTATTCCTATGTTCTCTTCAGGGAATTTTATAACTTTAGCGCCTAAATTTAGATCTTTGATCTATTTTGAGTTCATTTTTATAGATAGTATGACAAAAACCCCCAGCTTTATCCTGTGGCATACAGATACCCAGTTGTCCCGACATCATTCATCAAAAAGACTATTCTTTCTATCCCCCATTAAATTATTTTCTTGAAAATAAATTAAAAATGTGAGGGTTTATTCCTGGACTCTGAATTCCATCCCGTTGATACCTCTCTGTCGTTAAGCCAGAACCATGCTCCCTTGATTACTGTAGCTTTGTTATGACTTTTGAAACCAGGAAGTGTAAGTCCTTCAACTTGGTTCTTCTTTTTCAAGAATGCTTTGGCTGACAAGACGTTTAAGTAGCTGGTGAGCATGTGGAAGTACACTCAGCACCGTTAGTCATTGTTGGGTGCCATCAAGTTGCTTCCAACTCCTAGTGACCGACCTCATGTGCCAGTAGAACCGCCAAATGGGGTTTTCTTGGATGTAGACTTTACAAAATCTAACAG